CTGGTGGTCCTTTTTCCAGTAACTTTTCCCTTATGAATATAACAAATGTTGTGTCCACTAAGACACCTGGTAATGTTTGGCACTGTCATGCTATCTTCTTGTGCATATGAGATACAGTTAGTCTGAAGTAGTAATTTTGGTGCTGTGTAGCATATTTCATCTAGCTAAACCCCTAATCTTTTGCTCTCCTACATTCACCCATCGTTCACCATATTATTACTTATCACAGTCAACTCTGAATGAATTATCATCTTTTCACTATTCTCCTATCTAGATACTTGTCAATACAAATAAATACACTTTTTGCTGTTTTATATGATATTATTACTGATATTCTATGTAGATGAAATGGGATGATGAAATATACATTTTCTCATTCATAAACTGGAGCTGCAACCAAAATTGGACCTAGTGGCACTTGAACAATCAGGAAGGTTTGTGGTTCTTGGGAATAAACAGTTTAAGCTTGCACATTTTCAAGCTAATTTCCTAACTAAACGTGTTTCACAAATGTGAACATTTTATCAATGTTGCTACGAGTCATAAGAAATGACATCACCAAACCAAGAAACAATTCAGAAATTCTAGTCTGAATCCCTTCTTATATGTTTCACCACAAAAGCTTCACATATATGGTCATTATGGATAATAAACAGTCAACACAGTGAAAAATCATAATAGTAATAATAAATGATACACAAACAAATAACTTTCTAGTGATTCTCAATGGTTCAGTGGAGTTAGGTTCCCTTGCATTACTACATTATTCACAAATCTGAACCTCTTTGGTGCAGGGAGTGATTAGGTCCCCATCTATTTCTAGTACATATGGAGGTGGTGACCTAAAAAAAACCTGTACATCAATGCAATGCATCATTCAACATGTACACATCTTATTATCATAATTATCAATGCAACAACACTGATTCCTTACCGTCAAAAGGAAATCCCGGGCGTGTCTGTAGGTGTCGATGGCACCTTCCCCAATGAGCTCCGTGTCAAATACCTCTGCCACGAGGAGGTTAGCTTTCCTCTCCATGTCCTTCCCTGGACCAACCTCAATTTCTGTCGACCGTTTTGGGATCAGGTGCACCTAATAGCAGAGAGATTGAGAAAGAGCATTTAACAATAAAACACAAGTTAAATCAATGCACTTAAAAAAGAATGTAGTGTTAAGTAACTAAGGAACTAAAGTGAGAATGACTAGTAATAAATACTAGAGTGAAGAATACTGATAAGCACCCACACATACACATACAAATACCTATACTTCAAGTGACAGCCCCATAAAAAAAACTCCTTTACCACAAGCATCAAAGCCTTAATAGAATTTCTATACACACTTGAATTTCTATGAACACTAACCTTGTCTGCACAGCCATTGGCCTTCAACCCTTTCCTTGCACACTCAGCCATTGGGTAAAATGCCTGCAATGAAATTAGAGGGAAATCAGCTTTTCTTAAAGATAATGATAACATTAATAACATTGATAATGATGGAAAGAATATGGAAGAGAAAAAGGAATAAGAAGGGGAGGAAGAGGACTCTGAAGACAAAAGAGAAGAGAGAGGAAGAAAATAAGAGAGGGAGAGGATAAAGAGAAAAAGAAAAAAGAGGAAAGACTAAGAAAAATCATAAGTTAGAATATCATATATGACAATTTCTAGCTCTATCCTTTGGACCATATATCCCTTAATGGAGAAACTCTCCTCACCTCACAAGCAGTGACTGAATCGGCTCCACAAGCTACTGCCATCATGGACAGCAAGCCTGTGCCCGTACCAATGTCCAGCACATGCACTTCTTGCCCTCGTCTCCGCAGGTCTGCTATTGAACGTTTCAGACCTTCATAATATTTGTCATTCTGTTGGAGTTATTAAATTATATTACATGATAGACTATCACTACCACTGCCAAATAGAAAATTATTATATCTGACTTCATATAAGGCAGGCACTTGCATGCACCTAGGCACGCACGCACGCGCGCACACACACACACACACACACACACACACACACACACACACACACACACACACACACACACACACACACACACACACACACACACACAATCAAAAAATTTCTAGATAGTATAGTCACATAACTTTTAAATATCATCATTCTTACTGTGATCAAAGTATCAGCATAACAATACAAACAACTTTCAACTGCATCTCTTCTCAAGGCCTCTCCCTATGCACTTATCAAAATGAACCTGTCTCTGCACTTCCTAAACTCTTCCTCACACTTACTCTTTCCTTGTCATGTAACATGTCTGCGTAGGACGACCTGGCTACTTCTTGCTTGTAGTCGTAATCCTCGGGCTGGATGCCCCACTCCATCTTGCCAGTGATTGGGTTGAGCTGCTGTGTGAAAACACTCATCATGCGGCCGGCTTTCAATGAAGGGATCCTGCAATATTCAAGGTGTTTAATTGGCAGAAAAACAAAAAAATAAATAATCAACATTAACCCAATGGTGCCGGGTGTACAAAACAAAAACAAAAAAACTCTATGCTTAAACAAACAAAGGCGGAGCGCCGACTTTGAGCACGTGAGTAGGGGACATCAGCCCGAATCACTGGCTCGCCGTGCTTTGGCGCGCCGCCGGCTCGTTCGGCTGCACGCCGATCGGCGTCACCCGGCACCAAGGGGTTAATAATGATGACCATCATGAAAATAATTACAATATTAATAACAATACTTTGAAAAGAGAGAATCTCACGCTAACATACAAACTGAAAAACAAGTAAGAAAACAAAGCTGAATAATCAATTTCCCTTAGAGGCACCAGCCACTTTATCAACAAAGAAAAAATGATCAAACAAATTTCCAAAGCTTTCAAATCCAATGGCAAACAATACAAATTCATTATTACGAAAATATTGGTGCTCAACTTATCTAAATTTCTTTCAGGCCACATCAGGAAGAGGCATCAAATTCAAACTGCATGTCAACTTAAATACGAACACACACACCAACACGTAAACACACTCAAACAAACACACACACAAAATAATAATAAAAATAAATAAATTAACAAATAAATCATCTACCATCCAATTTGTGAACTTTACTGAACTGAAAAAACAAAGCTGTGAGTATGAGCAAGTGTAATTCTACTTCCATAACCTTCTACAAGCTAGTTCTCAGATTTGTCTTTACAATATGAAAGAGGAAAGGAAAGGAAAGGAGAGAAACAGGAAAATGAAGAGGATGAGAGTTCAAATATGAAATATCAGACAAAAATTCAAAGGAAGTGGAGCCAAAAGTAGAATATGAAAAACAAAGACACAGAACCAAAGAATAGGAATGAAATGCAATGGAAAATAAAAGGTAAAGAAAACACAACCAGCTCTTCACGGCCAATGCCCCCTACCTGAACACTTTGTGCGTGTGGCTGGGGCACTGGGAGGCTATCCTGCGCACTGATGGTCCCAATCCAGCTTCTTGACGTTTTGAAAAGTTAGCAAGGGCAAATCTCTCTAGTTCTTTGCATGACGCTTTAAGTATTTCCTTGCGATGGATGTCCAGGCACCATTGCAACCACTTCACCATTCAACATCCACAAGTCTGTAATAGTTAAATTGTTGCTAGTTACAAATTGTTACTGACAAAAGTGTTAAGATATACAGTTATAAGATCAGTAGATTTCACCAAATCAATAGGCTATGAATATAATGGTGAACACAGTACAGAAGAGCAATTTTTTGGGCCACCCTACAATGCATTTCAGACATCGCTTCTCATGAATATCTTCTAACCCAGTGGTTCCCAATATTTTCTATTCACTGTCGTAACTTTCATATTGCTCCTTGGCCTCCAGGTTAAGAACCCTTGTAATAAATAAACAGTTGGGTCAAGATAACATTTCAGTACACCTGTTTTGCCAATATCCCCTAATTATAGAGTGAATTAACAGGTGTAATTCATTAAGTTTACTCTTGGCTTTGAAAGTGAAGCTGCCAGCAACGAAACAGGGCATTTGGACAGGGAGAGATTTCCATGATGTAGTAGAAGTGCAACTGTGTACATGTGTGTAAATGTGAGTACATGTGAGTAAACGTGTAGTGATGTCCATGTAAATATCTGCACATATGTACGTGTGTATCTTTACGTGTATGTTTATCTGAGGAGACACTAAGTGTAGATTATAATTTCCTGTGTATACATGAGTGCACAAGTGTGTGTGTGTGTGTGTGTGTGTGTGTGTGTGTGTGTGTGTGTGTGTGTGTGTGTGTGTGTGTGTGTGTGTGTGTGTGTGTGTGTGTGCGTGTGCGTGTGTGTGTGTGTGTGTGTGCGTGTGTGTGTGTGTGTGCGTGTGTGTGTGTGTGTGTGAATATCTCCTGGGTGTATGGCTTGAAGGCCCAGCCCATGCAAACACTCATGTGCAGTACCAAGATTTCTTGCCTCCCTGCATAAGCATTTCTTGCTGATTTGCCATTTTCCAAGGTCTATATTTGTCATTTGTTATGCTTTATAAGGAGGTAATACACAGTTTTCCTTGATCAGACTGTTAGAAGTCTACAACTTTATGCAGTAACAGTGGCAATAAGTAATAGTGTTATTTGTCTAATTTCTTTATTTGGTTAATCTTTACAGTATGCATACATTTTCCTGATATTCTCGTGGGGGACAAAAAGTCATTGGTACAAGAAATAATCTGCAAACACATACTGGAATTTCATAAATAAATGAAAAATAAAGCACCACTTGGTGCTCCCGAGTTTCAGCTCTGGCTTGCATACCGAGGTGAAGACAATGTTTGCTGGGGGGTGTTGGGGGTGGAGCCCCCCATCGACAATTCCCTTGGGCATGCATGTCCAGTCACAGCAATTTAGATAGTTAAATAAATTTTATGATGTGCAGTTAGGGACTTAATTAAATTAAATTAGCCTCAATATTTTTGTGTTATTCAATATCCTGTAACATCCTGCACTGCCAGTCACAGTGGGCAGGAATAGGATCCTGAGCAAGGAAATTGTGGCTTCCTTTGAGTCATAGTTCACATAGTTCACTCCACTCGTTTACTGGTGGAAATAATGCAAGGGCCCTTCCGAAATGCACACTGAGTCTAATCATCCTCTGAGATCTTTGCGCATTCATGAAAAATTGTTAACATTACCTAGCCTTCAGTCAATTTTTTTTTTTCACGACATGATGGTCATGTTACATTTTCCAAATTTTATGTGGTCATTATAGTCACAGACATTCTTGCCTTTGCCAGTACGTGTATGACCAAATAAAACGTGCCATCAACCACACTAATAGCTGGCTACTCTAACTGCTATCAGTGTCTTTACCGTGCACTAAAACCATTACAGCTAGACAGTAGATACCAAATGAAAATCATCACTAATAAAGTTATAGTATCAGCAATGTACAACAATCATTCACCTATCTACTTTTACACTCGTTCCTTCACCTATTCAGCTGTCCATCTATCCATCCTTTCACTCACTCGTTCATTTGTCTTTCATTACTTCATTCACCGATCCAGACTGGGAATCACTGGCTCCTGGGGTTCGGATAAATGCAATGACAACCAATCTCTGATATCAAAGGGGATTGCGTAGTTTTTGTATACTGGAATCAAAGGGCAAATACTTTAGTGTCACAGTAATACAACTTTTTTTTTTTTTTAGATATCACTCTATTCTAAACCTCCTTTTATATCTATTACTTCATGAACATCATTCAAAAGATACAAGTGAAAAAATACAAGAAAACTCCAATGTAATAACCTTAGTAAAATAAAAAAAAATAAAAAAAACGTAAATTAACGTATTGGTAATCGTTTCAAAGCTACGGCTCCCATCTGAAACTACGGCCCTGTTCTCCCGGCCGGCTGCGAGGGACACGATGGGAAATCCATGAACATTAACCTTCCTGAACCTGGAGCTTTGCCGCTGAGCCCTCACCCCATAAGCCTATTTCCCGCATTCGAAATCTACAAGTACATCAAAAGTAGTGCCATTACAAAAGCGCAAAAATGACCGACAGTGACCACATGACCCATACTCGCAACAGCAGCCTACACATGCTCATTTATGCACAGCAACAGCCAGCAAACCCAGATACCCAACAGCAGTCCACAACTAGTCAGCCGCAGCCTATTTACTAAGGGTTTACTACTAACTTACTATGAGTGTTATTTACTATTTTTATTTTAGCTTTATTTACGTATTTACTAAGGGTTTTCCACCACTGAGGCCTACCCTTAGCCCTTCCTCGTACCATTCTTCCCCTGCGCAGACCATTACCTATGTCCGTATGTAGTTTTTTTTTTTCCCCTTGATTTCTAAAAGTGTCTTACAACCTCCTCTTTTCACGTAAATAAATAGAATAAATATCCAACGGTGGGGTTTTACTGAGGTTATTACATTGGAGTTTTTTTGGATTTTTTTTCTTTTCTTTTTTTTATAATCTTGTATCCTTTGAATGATGTTCATGAGTTATATATGTTGTTTTTTTTCTCCCCTTGATTTCTAAAAGTGTCTTATGGCTTTCCTTCTTTAGTTAAGTAAATAAAATAAATAAAATAAATATCTAATTCAGGGACGAAGAAGTAGCTCTTACTCTGAGGTATCTTGGAGGCTGTGTCCTACCGAAATAAGACCCGGAGAACGTGAAGATCTCCCGAGAACGTCTTTTTCTTTTCAAATAACGAAGAAATAAGACCTAAGTAAGGGTTAAAAAGACCTAAAAACACCTAAAAACACCCCAATTTCAAGGCACTTCTGACACCATCTAGAGAAAAACCCTTATTAAGCCGATTAATAAATACTTTAGGGCCGAACAGCTCGTAGCTGCTTATAACTTGGAATATTACGGATCTCGTGGCATCCCTCCCACCGCGAAACAGGGAGAGAAAAGGAGAGAAAAAAGAAAAAAAAAGAAAAAACTGATTCGGATTTTTTTTTCCTCACGTGTTAGCAGAAGACGACCTCGAATTTCCTGCGCGAGAGAGGAAGTCTTTTGAAAATTGTGTTTGGTGCTTGTTTTGGGCGTTTATGGGATTATTTAGGGGGGTGAACAATTTTTATATGGGTTTTAAAATTATATTCGGGTTTCTCCTTACTTCGGGATGATTAGTTGAGGGTCATTAACACCCAAACCAGCTCGCCAAAAGGGTCGTCTCAAAATCGAATTTCAACCCCAAAAGCATAGAATACAAGACCAGAAAACGCTATAAGAAATTAACGGGTCGTGAACAAATCGCCAGAGAGGCCGAGAGGAGGCCGAGAGTCGAGGAAGTGCGGGCAAAACAGAGGCCGCGGCAGTATTGGAACGCTGGCCATTGCGGCGCCGTGAGGCCTCTTCTCGTCGCCTCCGAACCCCAAACCGCCTCTTCTCCCGCTTATCCGGCCCCACGCCCCCTTATCCGGCCTCCGATCCACGCCCGAAGGCCCGAGGAGAAGAGCTCCCCCCGCGCAGGTCCAATTGGAGGGGCGACGTGGGCGAAGCAGGGCAGAAATGACGACCCCCAACACAGGTGAGGCGCGGCGGCGGCGGCGGCGATTTTCGGGGATTTCGTCGCCTTCGGGAGGGCCTGCGCTCGGGCTCTCGGGGGCCTGCTCACGCCCTCGGCCTCGGCGGGCGGGCGGGCGGCGGGGGGCAGCAGGGAGCCCCGAAAGGCGAGTCCCGAGGCGGCGAAGGGGTTTCGTCGGGTGGCTTTGCTCCCAATTCGTCCCCGTCGGCCCTGTTCTCTCCGTCGGGTGGCTTTCCTCTAATTCCTCCCCGTCGGCGCTCTCCTCTCGGGGTTCGGGCGCCAGACGAGGCCCAGGGCGGCGTCGGGCGTCCGAGGGCAGGGCACCGAGGGAGTCCTTCGGGTGTCACGTTCTCGAGGGCGACGTGCTGTCAAAAGGGGTCATTTTCCTCCGTGGGGATTCCGGGTCCTTTTATTTTTCGCTTTCCTCTTTTTTCCTTCTCTCTCTCTCTCTTTCTTCTGTTTTTTTTTCTGTTTATGGGTTTTTGATGTAATCTGGGGGGTAGGGGAGTGTCGTTTTGTGTTTTCTGGATAAAAACTAAAAAAAAAAGAATTGAGGGCATTGTCTCCTGTGTTTATGGTCTGACATTTTGACTTTTGTGTATGTAAGGGTTTTGTCTCATTCCAGGTTTTTTCTTTGTTTTCTTGTCTTTCTTTGTTTATTTTTTCCTTAGCGTTGGTGTTGCCCGTTGCTTTGATCCGAGGGCAATATTGCGAATGTCCGAAATTACGATGTTTTTTTGTTTTTAATAGTAATTTTGGATATGTGTTCATAAATTTTACTTTTTTTTTTATGTATATATGGATTTTTCTTAATTGCAAGTTGGTATTGTATGTAGAAAGGACGCAATACTGAGTTAATTTGCTTCTTTTCGCTTTACTGCTCATCCTTAGCCCTCTGTTGTATTGCTAATAGAGAGGTCTCATTCCTTTTATTATTAACAAAGTAATTAAGTAATGATATAGTTTGTAGATCTCTCTTGTCGTGTCTTTTTTGTCATGTCTCCATTTCATGTGTCGTCCTGTTCTCTCTTGAGATCTTGTGGCAAAAGAAAGGAATTGACAGGAATTTACAAGGCTGCTCAATTGTGTTTGTGGGTATTATCAGTTGGAGGTTTATTATGGAAAGAGGTTGAATTTAAGGACACATTTGTGGAATAATGGATATGACAGCTGTCAGAGTGACAGGGAATTGGGAATGAGTCATGAAGAATTTTAAGGAACCAAGGTCAAGCGAGAGGAAGATCTACACTTGTTTCCTTTTTTAAACTTAATGTACTTATTGTACTTAATCCAGTACAGACCCTGATGGTGTTTCTTCTTCTGTGACTTCTTCAATGTCTTCAATTTCATCTTTCTCTTCAACTTTGTGATGCACATGTATTGGCATATATCATGGAGTATATACAAGTGTTAATGTGTGTGTGTGTGAATGCCTATGCGCATGCTTGCAGTCATGGTCATAAGATACCCACATTTCACCACATGCTTCATAGAGATTAAAATGGCTCTACACCCAGGGTGATTCTTTACACTACAAATTGCAAATTGCTTGCAAATTCATTAAACGATCTAAGTGACCATGATGGGATGTACCCTTCAGGCACTTCTCAAGGGTGGTGTTGATTTTTGCAATCTTTTTTTCCTTTATTTTATAGTGTTTCCGTTTGTGTCTGCAGATTATTTCTGTACTGGAAAGTGATACTTTCAGCCTTCCACAGTGATGTCTCAAATTTGCCCAGGCTTACTACATCCACAACATAAAGACTAACCCACTTGTCAGCACTCCAGCAAACGTTATCCCTCCCCCACCATGCATTCTGCCAAGTCTCTCTCTCGACTTTAGTGGTGCTTCATCATGAATTAAAGAACTAGTCCAGGCTCTTGTAAAATTGTGGTTATTACCTGATACCGCATGCCAGTCAAGCTGAATTCAGATTCTAGGATAACCATAGCAAATTACAGCAAGCTTCAAGTGGCTTGGAATGGAATGTGTTCTGTGCGATTACAAGAAGGGAAGGCCTGTGGTCAAAGCATTCTTTTCTTTCTTTTCCATTTTTTATTTTGTGTCAATATATGAGAGAGAGATGGAGGAGAGAGAGAGAGAGAGAGAGAGAGGACGTGTGTGAGAGAGAGAGAGAGAGAGAGGACGTGTGTGAGAGAGAGAGAGAGAGAGAGAGGACGTGTGTGAGAGAGAGAGAGAGAGAGTGAACGTGTGTGAGAGAGAGTGAACGTGTGTGAGAGAGAGTGAACGTGTGTGAGAGAGAGTGAACGTGTGTGAGAGAGAGTGAACGTGTGTGAGAGAGAGTGAACGTGTGTGAGAGAGAGTGAACGTGTGTGAGAGAGAGTGAACGTGTGTGAGAGAGAGTGAACGTGTGTGGAGAGAGAGAGTGAACGTGTGTGAGAGAGAGAGAGAGTGAACGTGTGAGAGAGAGAGAGAGTGAACGTGTGAGAGAGAGAGAGAGAGTGAACGTGTGAGAGAGAGAGAGAGAGTGAACGTGTGAGAGAGAGAGAGAGAGTGAACGTGTGAGAGAGAGAGAGAGAGTGAACGTGTGAGAGAGAGAGAGAGAGTGAACGTGTGAGAGAGAGAGAGAGAGAGAACGTGTGAGAGAGAGAGAGAGAGAGAACGTGTGAGAGAGAGAGAGAGAGAGAACGTGTGAGAGAGAGAGAGAGAACGTGTGAGAGAGAGAGAGAGAGAGAGAGAGGACATGTGAGAGAGAGAGAGAGAGAGGACATGTGAGAGAGAGAGAGAGAGAGAGGACGTGTGAGAGAGAGAGAGAGAGAGAGAGGACGTGTGAGAGAGAGAGAGAGAGAGAGAGGACGTGTGTGAGAGAGAGAGAGAGAGAGAGAGGACGTGTGAGAGAGAGAGAGAGAGAGAGAGGACGTGTGAGAGAGAGAGAGAGAGAGAGAGGACGTGTGAGAGAGAGAGAGAGAGAGAGAGGACGTGTGAGAGAGAGAGAGAGAGAGAGAGGACGTGTGAGAGAGAGAGAGAGAGAGAGAGGACGTGTGAGAGAGAGAGAGAGAGAGAGAGGACGTGTGAGAGAGAGAGAGAGAGAGAGAGGACGTGTGTGAGAGAGAGAGAGAGAGAGAGAGGACGTGTGTGAGAGAGAGAGAGAGAGAGAGAGGACGTGTGTGAGAGAGAGAGAGAGAGAGTGAACGTGTGTGAGAGAGAGTGAACGTGTGTGAGAGAGAGTGAACGTGTGTGAGAGAGAGTGAACGTGTGTGAGAGAGAGTGAACGTGTGTGAGAGAGAGTGAACGTGTGTGAGAGAGAGTGAACGTGTGTGAGAGAGAGTGAACGTGTGTGAGAGAGAGTGAACGTGTGTGAGAGAGAGGTGAACGTGTGTGAGAGAGAGAGTGAACGTGTGTGAGAGAGAGAGTGAACGTGTGTGAGAGAGAGAGAGAGAGAGAGGACGTGTGAGAGAGAGAGAGAGAGAGAGAGAGAGGACGTGTGAGAGAGAGAGAGAGAGAGAGAGGACGTGTGAGAGAGAGAGAGAGAGAGAGAGAGAGAGAGGACGTGTGAGAGAGAGAGAGAGAGAGGACGTGTGAGAGAGAGAGAGAGAGAGAGAGAGGACGTGTGAGAGAGAGAGAGAGAGAGAGAGAGGACGTGTGAGAGAGAGAGAGTGAACGTGTGTGAGAGAGAGAGAGAGAGAGAGGACGTGTGAGAGAGAGAGAGAGAGAGAGAGGACGTGTGAGAGAGAGAGAGAGAGAGAGAGGACGTGTGAGAGAGAGAGAGAGAGAGAGAGAGAGAGGACGTGTGAGAGAGAGAGAGAGAGAGAGAGGACGTGTGAGAGAGAGAGAGAGAGAGAGAGGACGTGTGAGAGAGAGAGAGAGAGAGAGAGGACGTGTGAGAGAGAGAGAGAGAGAGAGAGAGAGAGAGGACGTGTGAGAGAGAGAGAGAGAGAGAGAGAGGACGTGTGAGAGAGAGAGAGAGAGAGAGAGAGGACGTGTGAGAGAGAGAGAGAGAGAGAGAGAGAGGACGTGTGAGAGAGAGAGAGAGAGAGAGAGAGGACGTGTGAGAGAGAGGACGTGTGAGAGAGAGAGAGAGAGAGAGAGGACGTGTGAGAGAGAGAGAGAGAGAGAGAGAGAGAGGACGTGTGAGAGAGAGAGAGAGAGAGAGAGAGGACGTGTGAGAGAGAGAGAGAGAGAGAGAGAGGACGTGTGAGAGAGAGAGAGAGAGAGAGAGAGAGGACGTGTGAGAGAGAGAGAGAGAGAGAGAGAGAGGACGTGTGAGAGAGAGGACGTGTGAGAGAGAGAGAGAGAGAGAGAGAGAGGACGTGTGAGAGAGAGAGAGAGAGAGAGAGAGGACGTGTGAGAGAGAGAGAGAGAGAGAGAGAGGACGTGTGAGAGAGAGAGAGAGAGAGAGAGAGAGAGAGAGAGAGAGGACGTGTGAGAGAGAGAGAGAGAGAGAGAGAGGACGTGTGAGAGAGAGAGAGAGAGGACGTGTGAGAGAGAGAGAGAGAGAGAGAGAGAGAGGACGTGTGATAGAGAGAGAGAGAGAGAAAAGAGAGAGAAAACACGTGTGAGAGAGAGAGAGAGAGAGAGAGAAAGAGGACGTGTGTGAGAGAGAGAGAGAGAGAGAGAGGACGTGTGAGAGAGAGAGAGAGAGAGAGAGAGAGGACGTGTGAGAGAGAGAGAGAGAGAGAGAGGACGTGTGAGAGAGAGAGAGAGAGAGAGAGGACGTGTGAGAGAGAGAGAGAGAGAGAGAGGACGTGTGAGAGAGAGAGAGAGAGAGAGAGAGGACGTGTGAGAGAGAGAGAGAGAGAGAGAGGACGTGTGAGAGAGAGAGAGAGAGAGAGAGGACGTGTGAGAGAGAGAGAGAGAGAGAGAGGACATGTGAGAGAGAGAGAGAGAGAGAGAGGACGTGTGAGAGAGAGAGAGAGAGAGAGAGGACGTGTGAGAGAGAGAGAGAGAGAGAGAGAGAGGACGTGTGAGAGAGAGAGAGAGAGAGAGAGGACGTGTGAGAGAGAGAGAGAGAGAGAGAGGACGTGTGAGAGAGAGAGAGAGA